TTCCAACCCAAAAAGTGATACACTTGCATTCCACAATTGTTTATGCCTACCACCGTTTATAAAAGTATACATAATAATATAGTTAGTTTCGATTTTTACAATTGGTGATTTTGTTGAGCAAAGACCTTGCATCAAATTTTGTTTGCGGAACGAGTATTCTTGTGCGGACACATTGAAAATGTTGCGGAAGGCCTTTGGTAATCAAACTTTTGCACACAAAAAACGTTTATAAGTGGTACAACGAGTTTAAAGCGGGGCGAGATCGTGTTGAAGACGAACCGCACGCTGGACGACCATCAAAGTCTACCGACGAGGACCGCGGCCAACAAATCAAAAATTTGCTGCTTGAAAATCGTCGATTGACAATGAGAGACCTCGCTAACAGTGTTGGAATATCATTTGGCTCAGCCCAAACCATTGTGAAGGATGTTTTGTGTCCCAAACGCGTCAAGTCCCGATTGGGGCGAAAATCGCTCAATTTTTTGGAAAAACAGCGTCGCGTTGATGTGTGTGAAACTTTGCTGTTTGACTATCAGGACGACTTGAAATATATTAAGTGACGTATAAATCCAGTTTAAATGGTTTTATTTTAATAAAATTTTGTATGAGTACTTAATGAAGCATAATAAGTAAATGATAACAATTTCAAAATGATTGCAGTGCTTTAAAGCCCTTTGACCTTTAATAATGTGTGGATGCACCCTGATGTGCTACGCATTCTCCAACGCGCCTAGGCATGCTTCTGATCAGGTGGTCAATGTCCTCCTGTGGTATCTCATTCCAGGCAACCACCAACTCCTCTCGAAGTGCTTCTACAGTCTGAGGAGGACGTTGCAAATTGAGCAATCTCCTACCCATCATATCCCATACGTGCTCAATTGGGATAAGTCGGGAGATCTTGGTGGCCATGATAACAATGTGACATCATTATGTTGAAAGAAGTCTATTGTGACTCTTGCAACATGTGGTCGGGCATTATCTTGTTGGAAAGTTGGATCTGCCAGGGTGTCAAGATAGGGTAAAAGATGGGGTTCTAGAACTTCGAGGATATAACGCCGCGCGTTCATGTTACCTCTGATGAAGATTAAAGGTGACCTGGAACCATAAGCTATAGCACCCCAAACCATAACTCCAACAGTGTGATGAACATGTCTTTCAACAAAAAACTGTGTATTCCTCCTTTCACCACGTCGCCTTCTAACCCTGGCACGACCATCGTGCATGCCTAAACAAAATCGAGACTCGTCACTAAAGACAATACTGTTCCATTCCTGATCCCAGAGTGACCGTTGTCTGCACCACTCAAGGCGATTACTTCGGTGTTCTCGAGGTAAAGGGAGGACCCAGTGTGGCCGGTATGACAACAAGCCAAAACTTCTCATTCGTCATTCCCATGCCAATAGATCTTCCGTGTTCTGCAAACCATTCATTTGCAATGGACCTGGTAGTGGAGAAACGGTCCCTTAAGGCCAATAATCTTAGGCGGCGATCTTCACGGTCTGTTGTTCTACGGCGGCGTCCAGTGCCCCTTGCTCTTTGCGTATGGCCTTCTTGAAGCCATGCCTGACACACCTAACCACAGTGTCTACACTTCTTTGCACTCTAACTGCAATTGCCCGAAAAGAAAGTCCAGCTTCCCGATGTCCCACTATGCGGCCCCTATCAAACTCACTAAGTTGACGAAATCGTACAGGTCTCCGTACTCTAGGCATCGTAACCGATCGTAAAGGATGTCAAGATCCAAAATCCGCCAACGTTGATTCTTTACTGCGGCTGAAATATTCATTTTTAGAGCGTTAGTGAATTAAAAAAAGCAGTATAAAAACCGGAATGTCCAACTGATAAGGCTGAAAATTTTTTCACTTGTTATTTACAGAAAGATAAATACATTCACCAACTTTTATTAAAATAAAACCAGTTAAACTGAGCGTTCGAATTTATATGTCACTTAGTATACATCACTACTAGAGACGAGGCTTGGGTTTACGCATACGACCCTCAAACTAGCGACCAATCCAGCGAACTTCGTGCAAAAGGTGAAACAAGACCGAAAAGACCACGATCGAAAATCAAGGTCATGTTGACAGTTTTCTTTGATTATCGTGGTGTGGTGCACTATGAATTCCTTCCGCCGGGCCAAACTGTCAACAAAGAATATTATTTGAGCGTTATGCGTCGTTTGCGTGAAGCTATTCGTCTGAAACGGCTGGAATTATGGTCGAACAACTCTTGGTTCCTTGATCACGACAATGCAGCATGTCATTGGTTCTTCGCGACCTTTTTGCCAAAAACTCGACTCATCGCTTCGCAACCACCGTATTCGCCTGATTTGGCTCCGTGCGACTTCTGGCTATTCAGCAAACTCAAATGGCCTATGCGGGGACGCCGTTTCGACAGGATTGAGGAGATAAAAACCGAATCGCAGAAGGTCTTGAAGGTTATACCGGAAAAAGACTATTCCGTGCGTTGATTTGGAAGCATAAATAAGGAATTTACACTTTATAAACAATTTCATCTTACTTTTTGATCACAGTAGTACATGTCGTATTACATCCAACAAACGTTTCTCATTTTCGAAAATTTTCGAGACTACAATTCTTCCTTGTCAGTAGACGTGGGAAGTAATGCATGGTTCCAACAAGGTAGAGCAACTTCACACAGATATTTTTTCCTTGAAAACTGATTTTTATGAGACGTGACATAATTTAGCTACCAGACAGTTCTGATCTAATCTTTTAATGGTTTTTTTCTATGAGGATGCCGTGAAAGTTGAAAAATTGCTATCGTCACAGCGTCGACATGTACTCCCATGAGCAACACTGAGCTTCAAAATTTAATATACGTTTTCCATTTTCTACTTTGAAAACAGCTGCCATGGCAGTCAAAACATCGGTCAATTCATCGATTCTCTATATACATTGCTCCTTCTGAAGAAAAAGGATCAGTTTATCTACTTTTACCAGCAAGTTACTCCGTTGTCGATGCATAGAAACTGACTTCAGCTAAATTTTAAGGTGCACATCTATAAAGATCTGTAAATATTCTCCTGCAGCAATGCAGAGAGACTATAGACGAAGTAATTCCAGTGTAAAGCGAAGTTCCCTTTAGAGCTTCATGTTAATATCAGATTCAAAGTACGCCAGTATGCGAGAACTTCCGCAGGCACTCGGTGTTACCTGCATCTATACAACACGAGCTTTGGATAGGGGTTGTCTAGCCTGATAAATAATTTGAAAGGGGTAAACCAACCCCGTTGTTGCGTTTCATAAATTGTAGAGGAATGTAAACAGATATGGAAACCATTTATTTTAGGGATATAAAAAGAAAACTACATACACTTGGAAACAGCTTAATGTTGTTACTAATCAGTCGTACATTTTCAAGCAGTAATTTAACAGTCTTTATTAACTATATTATCAAAGTGAAATCGAACACGAAAAACAATAACCAATGAGTATCTAAATATGGAACAGATACCTTAAAAACTGCATAAGTCTCGCAATTTGCATTCTCCAGAAGACAAATAAAAGCTGTGTCATTCACAAATAAACCAATTTTAAGGCACTTTTTGAGATTAATTTCTGTACCTTAGATCCAGATTAGGTTAACTCCAAATAAGTAGTTTTAAGATAATTACAAAAGAAATATTTTTCTTGTATTCTATTGTGTACAGATATAGTATTTGAGTTTAGAAAGGTTGAAGTTTCCAAAGACCCTAATAATAATGATGGAAAAAGCCCAAAAAACTGTTATGGGCTTACGTTGTCATTGCAAAAATTAGGGTTAGTCGTATATAACTTAAGCAACAGAATCATATTTATTATATTTTAATTCTTTATTATTGAAAATTGCACCTAAATATTTGATTAGTATTTACTTTTATCATGTCACATATTTTTATTCTGCGGTACATAGGAAAAACCCAGGTAAAGCAAACACCCTGGGAATATGGACTTTTTTGTCGTGACACAAAAACCTACCATGGAGAACATCAATCAATGCCTGAACATACCCGATTAAGTGCATTAGAGAGGCTAAAAAAGGTTACTAGATGGAAATTATATTTCTCGTTTGGGTACTACGTGCGGCACATTCACCATTTTTGCAAATCAGGAAAGCTCTAACGGCCGATTTCTCAGAAACTAATAATTGGATTGCTTTGCTCCCAGGGACACTTTTGTTCGGGAAGACAAGAAATATATCATACTGAATTTGTATACAAATCGCCTGGATCCCATTTGTTCCAGATGTTTTGTTCCTGGCAATTTTAAATTTAGTTTAGAATTCACGATATAGGTATCAATATGTGCTATAGAGGTATATTACATAGCTATACTAAATTCATTATAGACGTGCATTCAGTCAAAACAATGTTCTTCACGCCACCAGTAACAGAACGGACAAGTCTGGATATTCATTTCACTTGACGTCTATATGTCGTAATAATGTATCCAAGTGTTTCACTGTTACATAAATGAGCTGAACGTAAATAATTATAATAATATACGAGCATATGGTCATTGGAAGAAACATCACCTGTAGCAAATTTCCGTTAAACATCGACATCTCGCGCTTAAGCACTGGATATCGCTCTGACCAGTCTGGCATAGCACCTGATACCTGATATTGTTTATACCTACTGCTCCTCGAATTGTATAAAAAAGTGTATTTTTAATTCCTGAAGTATAAGTTTATAAGAAAATAGATTATAATTAAAATTTTCCGTTTGAGCCTTGAGAAAAAGTTTTGCTCGTCCATAGAGCACAGTTGTAAAAAAGTAAAAACACTCGGAATATATTCAGTGCTTCAGGTTTCCCTCTACTTATTTTTGAACGAGTCACGTTAGCAGCGCCGTAGCTAGCATGGGGCAGGCGGGGTGGTACCCCAGGACCTCCAACGAAAAGGGGCCCCTTTTCGTCGGTGACCTTTTATCGTAGGGGGCCTTTTTACGTCAGGGGCTTTTTTCGTCGAGGGACTTTTTGGCCCTGAAAGAATCTTACCTGGGCGAAGACTTTAGGGGCCCCTGAAAATACTTCAAATTGAACAATTTTTTTTCAAAGTGAAACAACTGAAAATTGTTTTCTTAGTTTTATTAGATTGTTTACAAAATAACATTTTTTCCTTTGAGTACAACAAATTTTATTATTTCGATTAATAAATAGTATTAAAAATGCCGTTTTCTTGATTTGCTTGCCGCAAATTTGTCGATAGTTTCGTTAAAATCGATCTATCTCGCTCGCTCATTCTCAATTAATAATAATGCCAATCCAGACAGTCGTTCTTTCCCCTTAGACGTTCGCAAATAATTTTTTATTAATTTCAATTTTGAAAAAGATCTCTCTGCCGTCGCAACTGTCACAGGACGTATCAAGAACATAATCCACGCAGTGCATACATCAGAGTAACTGGACGCCAAGGAACTGTTTTCAATAATAATCATTTCGGCAAATTGTTTCACACTATGAATCTGACTTATTTTTTTTTTTCTCGCGCAGAGTCGGTAATTCTGATTCTAGTAACTTTGACTCTTGGTAACACTGCTGAGTCTGACACAGACATCAGCAGCTGATCGCGTCGAACAGTGCTCGATATTCGTATATGCGTGGGAAAATCAAACGTTAATTCTAAGGGTAGAGTTGAAAAAAAATTTTCGTTAGTGGGGCCCCAAATTTCCTTGCTGCCCCAGGGCCCCCGAGGCTCTAGCTACGCCACTGCATGTTAGCCAGCTGGCCGATGAAATTGACATGAATACTATATTTTAACGTAACGTTGCAAATGTCAAGATGACGGCTAGGCGCCATCTTGTAAGTTGTTCAAATAAAATGATCATGTGATACCTTATTTTGAATATCCTTATGAGTACTTTGTAGTCGTAGAATACGAAACCACTGTCTTTCAAAATAGTGGGATGGGAACCTGTCAAAGGTAAGTGTTTTTGAATATTGAATCACTCAACAACTAATTATCAAAACGTTATAGTTTTTTGTATCAATCTTCTTCATTTGGAAATTGACAGATTTTGACAATTTGTTAAATGATATGTTCCATGCTTTATTACATATTAAGATATAACCTTCCAAGATTGGTTACTACAGCGTTTTGATGATTGCTTGCTCCAAAATAAGGTATCATTCGACACCTCATTCCTTTAAAGTTGTTAAAATGTAGTAAGTTAAAATGTTCCAAAATGACGGCCAGGCGTCATCTTGAAATTTTCAACTGCCACTCTTTTACGCTAAAATATAGTGTTCATGCATCGATTTCAGTACCTTGAATTCCAGCTAGTTTACTTGAGCCGTTCAGAACATAAGTAGGAAAGACCTTTTGTAATGCCCTGTATGATCTTTTCGTAGAAAAAATATTGATATATCATCGAAACATTTCCTTCCAGACGCTAATCAAGTGATTCAATTCACTTTTTTATAAATTTATCAGGATAAGGGCAATCTTGGTAAGGATTTATCACATCGAATCCAGACCTGGTATACATCTAGAATGAAATCATATAAAAAACTGCTAATGCGATTTGCTACGGCGAAGCACTGAAGCACCCATAAGGCGATCTTGGAAGCTGGGCGGTTTCATTATTAAAAACGTAATGACCCGTGCGACATAGTAGCCGCCGAGATAGCGGGTTTTATGGAAATAATAAAATTGTTTCGAGCTTTTCCGAGAGTAAAAAGCAGATTTTACTGCGATACGATGATGAAAATAGCGCATCTTTGAGAGCTGATTGTGCTGCGGTGGTCAGAGGCAAATACAGGATTGGATTGGAAACGTGGAGTCGAGTTGGTTATACCACTACTTCTAGTCTAGGAGCAGCCACTAAGGTCACCTGTTTGAATGTAGAGCATTATCACGCACTTAAAGAGTATATAAAAACAGGTCATACGTTATAAATCGTGGTCATTTGGTTGCCATATTTGAAAATGGCCGCGAAGTTCTACAACCGTTATTCGCATATCTTCATAACCAGAGACTGATTCCAGACTTAAAGAGATTTTCAATGTTATTGAAATTTTGTGGTAAGATTATCGGAAATCATTTAGTATTTGTGATGAATATAATACTTTTAACTATTGGTTTTTACTCTACCAAATATGGGCCAATTCCACATTTAAAGTAATATTACGCTTAAATATTTTCACAGACTTATAAAAACTGAAAACCTTGGGGTATGTGAATAACTACTAGATTACTAAAAAACTGTGTTATTATAAAATCTATGTATTTAAGTGGCAAATCATCAACGGTCATGAATATTTCATCCGGAGTACCGCAAGGTTCCGTGTTATGTCGATTGTTTTTCATCATACAGGTATACAGTGCTTTTCTTTAATGTCCCCCTCCCCTTTGATTTTTTGAACGGATGAATTCAAAAAATCAAAACTTGAGGTAATAAAATTGATGCGTAGATACTACATTTTAGAGTAAAATTGACAGATGAAGATGTCAAGATGGCTGATAGGCGTCATCTTGGAAAAAAATTATATGAAAACGGGGGTCTTGAGGCACATCATTTTGAAGCTCCTGACGAGTACTTTATAAGTCAATATCTTTACCTAATACAAAATGGTGGTACATTTAATAATCCAACGACCGGGGAAATTGTTATCTAAATAATTCCTAACTTGTCTTTAGTCGTGTGGTGGAGCACCATCTTGCTTGAATACAATATCAGTATCGAATTCATTAGGATTCACTTCGACGATTTCGGCGATCAGAGGGTCAATAGTACATATTTTCCAGCATATCAAAATACAGTTCCCCGGTTAAAGTTTGTTCGATGAATAGCGGCCCAATAATATGATTTCCCAATATCCCAGCCCAAACGTTAATTTTTTGTGAATATTGACTATGAGTTTCCCGGAAGACGTGAGGATTGGTGTCACTCCAATAACGACAATTTTGTCTATGCACATTACCATTGAGAAAAAATGTACATTCATCACTAAAAAAAATATTTTGGGTATATTGGGTTTCCGTCATAGTCTCGCAGAATTCTGTTCTTCGATCAGGGTCATCTTCAGTTAGCTGATGTACCATTTGAATTTTATAGGAGTGATACTTATTCTTTTTCAAAGGTCTCCATAGAGTAGAAGGACAAACCTCACATATATTCGCGATGGAGGAAGTAGACTGTTGGGGATTTACTATGATCTCACCAATTATTTGAACTTGCCTTTCTTCCGGGATGGCCCTTGTGACCTGAGGGCTTTTTGTTGTTTACACTACCAGTAGCTGTAAATATAGATACAGGTTCCCTTAAATATTTTCTACAGGTATGACGATTCAGGAAATGATCATTAAAAATCCTTTCGGTCTCGTGAAAGTTACGCAACGATTTTTTCTTCCAATGAACGAGAATTGACCATTTTAAGAATAGTTCAAACAGAATCTAGCACTAAAACCGAAAACTAAATAGGAATATTTTAACTGTACAATGATGTTTGTTTTCGTACTGATATTCTCGTCACTGTCAACAAAAAATAACAAAACAAGTTTTTATCGCTGTTGCTATAGATACGGCAGGGAATTATAATTATTTGTAGAAATATGCATATCAGTGGGTTTGTAATTAGTAAATGTACCACCATTTTGTAGTAGGTAAAGGTATTGACTTTATATTCTAGGATTATAAAGTACTCGTAAGGAGCTTCAAAATGATGGGCCACAAGACCCCCGGTTTCATATAATTATTTTGCCCTGCGGCCATCTTGACATTTTTATTTGTCAATTTTACTCTAAAATATGGTATCCACTCACCTTTTGATTACCTCAAGTTTTAATTTTTTGAATTGATCTGTTCAACAAATCAAAGGGGAGGGGGACATTAAAGAAAAGCGCTGTATACAAGTCAATTAGCTTTAACTCTACAACATGCTAAACTGCATCTTTTTGATGATGATACGCAGTTGTATGTCTCGTTTGTCTCGTTCAAAAGAGAAGAGGTACGGGCAACTTGTGCAAAGTTAAATATTCTGACCGATAATGTAAAATGAGATATTGAAACACAAATTGGTGATGTCCACGTTCCCTTATCAGAAGAGAGAAGTTTTGGAGTTTATGTACTGTTACAAAAAAAAAAACGTGTGCTGCTTTGAAACTGATTTATGTCAACAGAAATTATCCTCCTAAAAAACTAAAATAATTCTATGTGACAGTATGGTTCTATCAATCCGCTGATGTTGTATATGTTCCCCATTTAACGTTTTTTTGAAAAAGGTTCACCTACCAAATTTATAATGTCCACAACGGTTTCCCAAACAAAATTAAAACATTTAATATTGTGGAATTCGAGAGCCATGACAAACGGGCAACGTCGGTACAAGGAGGTACATACCCAGATACAGGCAGACCAGGCAGATTAGAATGAATGAACTAGGGGAGGTACAGTTCTTGATTATGGTTTTATCAAAATATAATGACAATTAACATTCTTTTAACTGATGGCATCACAAAAACAATATAAATAGTAGTTACTTTGATATTACTGTTACAAAAAAAAAAACGTGTGCTGCTTTGAAACTGATTTATGTCAACAGAAATTATCCTCCTAAAAAACTAAAATAATTCTATGTGACAGTATGGTTCTATCAATCCGCTGATGTTGTATATGTTCCCCATTTAACGTTTTTTTGAAAAAGGTTCACCTACCAAATTTATAATGTCCACAACGGTTTCCCAAACAAAATTAAAACATTTAATATTGTGGAATTCGAGAGCCATGACAAACGGGCAACGTCGGTACAAGGAGGTACATACCCAGATACAGGCAGACCAGGCAGATTAGAATGAATGAACTAGGGGAGGTACAGTTCTTGATTATGGTTTTATCAAAATATAATGACAATTAACATTCTTTTAACTGATGGCATCACAAAAACAATATAAATAGTAGTTACTTTGATATTTATGTCAACAATTATACTGAAACGAAATGCTTGCCATACGAGCATCTCACGCATGGCGTACGCTGTGGTTACTACTAATATGAAGCCGGCAGGGGTATTACGTAGCTTGAAAAGTGACATTATGTCGTTTTTTTGTAGGTTTTCCATCAAGACGTCAACTAGCTGTCGTTTACTCATGGTCACTTGGAGCAAGCGCAGAATGAACTATTTGCACGCTAGCCTACTTACTCAACAAGTTGAAATTTTATAGGTTGACATTATATAGGTTTTTTACATAATAACCCTGCCGATTGATTGATTCAGAAGCAAGTGGCGTTTGGATACGATCCTACTATATGGTATGATGGGCAAAGATCTTTGAGGGAGGTCGGAGATTATCGAGGTTAAGAAATTTCAAACTGTCAATTTTCGGTTTATTCTAAACTAACTCGCGTAATTTCAGGCGGAGGGCTCTAAAGCTAATTAGTCATACGTCAACCTACAGGTTTTATGAATAATAGCTGCCATTTTCATAGTTAACTAAAATTACCCGCGAAAAGCAAGATTTGTAACATTATGGAAACAGAAGGTTCGTAAAACATGTAAGTTGACATCTATCTGATTCGCATTATGGGACCCTAATACGCGCGAAATTACAAGACTTAGTTCAGTATCAGAAGAAAAATATCAATTTCAAGTTCAAATTTTCCGTAGCGCTGCGAACCCCGCGTTAAAGCTTAAAAATCGGTCAGTGTCAGATTTTGGTTTGATTTGACGACCTCTCTATAAATTTAACATATTTTTTGTAAATAATATTGTAGCGTTTTTCTGGGTTCTATTGGGTGTGGATTAAAACACTGGATTCCAAAAAAGAAAGGCACTAATTTATTTAACTTGTTAAAACATTTATGTACACCACTATTTATGTCTGACTAATTCTTATGTCGCCATTGACTGCCCTATACTCCACTCCGCTCTGTTCTGCTGTAATCTGTACTCTACCGTATTCAGTACTCTGCTTCCATCTCCCGGCCGCCGAGTTATATACGAGTATATAGTCCCCAATGCTGCTTCGAGAAAGGTCTGGTGAACCACAAAGCGGCATCTAAAATATTGGAGGTCACACATCTAGAAGGTGAGTCACTGCCACGGTCCTCACAGACGCCGCCAAGCGGCTTGTGCGGTCGTGGTTCGCGTAGAAGCAGAGATCGGCCATGAAGATGCCGCTAACAGTACTATTTGTCACAGAATTTATTTAGCTTAAAGCTAAATAAATCCTTTCTATTCAATTCTAGATAAAGTTGTGCACCCAGCTAACTTAATTTAATAAATGAAATAACTTATGTGACCGTAGCGTTACCTAGCGAGTTGGTAATAGTAAAATAAAGTGAAGCCCTAAATGATGCCTCTGCTCCACCACTAATACTGCTGCCACACTACGTTGGTCGCTATCACGCCTCTGGAGCGAATAATTTAGAATTTGCGCTCACCAGAATTTTAAATGAAGAGTATAATAGCTTTCGAAAAGACGCGAGACGTTTTGCGTTAGTTTTTTTAATAATATGCTTTTATGCTTCTTTAACTTTGGAACAAGAAGCTGTCATACGAGTATTATGAATTATTATGCTGATTATAGTATGTGGTACTGGATATTTTGGCGCAGCAACTATAAATACTATACATATGTACACACTTTCCAATAGATTTTTCAACACCCAATGTGTGTTCTGTCCCTTACAGCTCTGCTGACCTGTTTCCCCTGGGTAACTCAGACCGCTGTGTTGTGGAGGTTAGGTTTCGGTCAGAACCCGCTGTTTCAGCGCAGGCCGCAAGATTTGGCATTACGGACATGCCGACTGGGAGGGGCTCAGAGACTTCTTCTCTACCTTTCCTTGGAGAAATGTCTGTTTCACTGACGCGGATGCGTCGGCTGTCTGTTCTTCGATAACCGAGATTATCCACGTCGGAATGGAGGAATACATACTGCTGATATAATAGAAGTGCTTGATTGTGTCAGTATTTGCACCATTTACTTGATTTGTTTAATGGGCAGTTCAGAGTCTTAATCCTTAAGCTTATTACATACTATACTATAACTATCTAAAACTGTAATGACTCATCGATGTTCACGTGAACATCACTTAACTACCAGTAGTCGGCTGTTCATAGGCGGGGTATGAATGTTTAACATGGGTGAACTAGATTTGTCACATGCTTAATAAAGAGTGGTTTGAAACATATTGTAAGTCAAAAATTTGGGAATTACCTTTATGCATCGTCGCTTCCGCTTACATCTGACAGTAATAAACTGTCGCTATCGCTTTCCTCGTTGAAATTGACTATAACTGGCTCTATGATGGTGTCGATGTGGTGGTCAAGCTGCCACATTTTTGTTTCTTCCTTCACAACATGACGGGTAGCATTCTGTCAAGCTTCGGGCGTTACTAGCTGTATGGAAGTCTCAAGTAAAACCTTAACGTCTGGTAATTTGAAGGTTGTGTTATGGCGCGCAATATAACCCTTCACTTGAGCCCAGATGAGCTCTATTGGGTTCAGTTCACAGTGGTAGGGCGGTAACCGCAGCACAGTGACACCACATTGACGGGCCATCTCATCAGTCACGTAACTAATGTTCGCAGGTTTGTGCTGTTTAATTTTTTCATACAATTCCGCTTTCACACATGAATCGTCAAACGGGATTCCTTTTTCGCGCAACCATTGCTGCACGTCACTTTTTCGAGATCCCATAGTCGGTACACGTTCGGCTCGACGACTATGGTAGGAAGCATTATCCATGACGATCACAGAGTTGGGCTCAACTCGCTGAAGCACCTCTTGAAACCAGCTCTCGAAGCAGCTGGCATTCATTTCGTCATGGTAATCACCTCCTTTCTTAGAGACGAAAATCAAGTCACACTCTTCTAAAAAGCCACTATCGCTACCAATATGAGTTACGATCAATCTTTGACCTTTCCCTGACGATCCACGAAGACCTGTTGACAAACCTTCAATGCTTGCTTGTCGGTTACTCGCTACGTTTTTGTCTATCCAGGTTTTTTTAACTGTGTGACCTGCATTTACCCATGTCTCGTCCAAATAATAGATTTTTCTGCTTTGTCGCCTATATTCAATCATTTCGCGTAGGTATTTTCGACGCCAGGCGACTATTTCAGGTCTCTCTATCAATACTGACTTCCGATTACGCGTTTCGTAACGAAAATTAATTTCGTGCAGGGATTTCCTCATTACCTCGACGCTCATTTGGGGTATAATTTCATTTTCCTTGATCGCTGCATGTACAGCGTTGAGGGTTGGTATCTCATTCCTAAAGAAGAATGAATGTACGGTTCGCCTTAACGCCATTTTGCTATCGTCATCCAATTTAACGGCCTTTCGTCCCTTCAAATTAAACTTTGGATCAGTAGTAGCTCCAGTTTTCTTCTTTTCATGCACCACCCTGCGAATGGTCCACTCTGGAACGCCTGTCATACTTTCACAACGCGCGAGTGCATCTCCCTGCGACATAGTTCTGTTCAGATAATTGAACACGTTGAGCACGATTTCTTACGCGTCCCTCTTCAGTGCTTTACGAAGCCGTCTACTTGTTCCCTGGCTTTCAGTACTTCCACTCGTGCCATTTGTACTCTCCATGGTTAAGTATAACCAAAACAGTAACCACAGAAACCACAACAATAACAATCACACAACAATTCTTATAAAAACACACAATATGCGATCGCTCAACGAAACACGTTCCAATGCGTTGCCGACGCCTATGAGTCTGCCGGTCGAGGCGCGTCTTTGATTTCATTGGTTCTACCGGCGGAGAACAATCAGCCATTATTTCCATCTCTGTCTGCGCTGTTGACCACTGCAAAGCCACAGAAACGACATATGTCGTACGCTATACGGCTGTACTGGAAGGAAGCCGGGATCGATCTCTGATCACGTCTTGATCACGCGTGTGAGTCATTACAGTTTTAAATAGTTGTAGTATAGTAGACGCAATTTGTCTATAGGCAGTCTGGAGACGGTCTCAAGACACGATCTATAGATGGTCTACAGACATCCTTCTTTGTCTTGTCTAGCGTCCATACGATGAATTTTTTGGTCTCATGTTCATTTTCGCAATGTAAGACATTATTTTGTATGGAATGGACTGGGATATGTCTCGGGGTCCCCCATAATGTTTTATTTTTTGTCGGTTAACAGAGCAATGAAGTTTTTTATGTTTGAATCTTTAATATTATTTCACTAGTTAATTATAAATGCCACGTAATTATTTTGTTCTCATATAACAAAATATTGGCTTTCTGAGGGTTTATGAGCAATTTGCATGTTTTTTTTTTCAAGCTGGCCTTGACCAGATAGAACACCCTTGGATTTAAGAAGCAATAATATCCCTTGCGCCCCCCCCCCCTAGAAATCTTGAATTCGCCCTTGAGATATTAGCACTTTTAAAGGTAGATTCAAATATTATTGTTAGTTGCATTGTGTTGACGTACATTTTCTTCTTTTTTCAGTTAGACAGATTTAAGGAACCACCTGCTTTCGGCCCTATGTGTGACCTATTATGGTCAGATCCCCTAGAAGATTTTGGTAATGAAAACAACGCAGAACACTTTTCACACAACTCTGTACGAGGCTGCTCATATTTTTACAGGTAATAAAAAATTAATTTTCAACTATAAAATCGGCGTAGTTCCAATGTAGAACAGAAAATGATGTGACACTGTTTTGGAGTATAATAAATCGAACTCACTAATTTCTAGATTCTGCATCATAGTTATAGGCTGCATATTAAATTAAATCCAATAATTTTAAGCAATTTATGCAAAACTCATCGCCTTTCTAATGGATCCACGCTCTAGTTACGAGGATTCCCAAGAGAGAAACGGGGTAACCCACATCAAACGTACAATAATAATGTCCTAGTAATCCCTCCTTACCATATTAATATATGGAAGCTTTGTCTGATGTACGCTATGGAGTTACCATACATCGTTCCGTGGAATCTGCAGTTTGGTCCATCAGATCTTTCGCCTCCATAAGACTGTTTAAAATTTCTCAAAATAATGTTGTCCAAGAATCGAAATTTGTGAAAGTCTTTCCATATTCAACTAGTTCTGTGAAAAACATTATGGCTATACCTACCTCAGTTTAAGCTGGCTGCACAGGCTACTGTTATACAGCTTATGCTTTAACGTGTATGGTCAGCTTAAAATTAGCGGAAAGCGGTCGCATCGTAGCATCATAAGCCATAATTATCTAAATCGATACTAGGTTCAAGTCAGTGTTCGACTACCAGTAAGTCAGATTAGTTTACTGAAACTAATATTCTGATTATTGTTACAGCTATGCTGCATGTTGTGATTTCCTACAAAATAATAACCTCCTGTCAATAATCCGAGCACACGAAGCACAAGACGCGGGGTAAGTACACATTACATAATTGCATTTATGCACTCAGCTTCGATTTAATTACATACCGATCTGCCCAGAGCCGTACTGGCCAACTACCCGATGCTTACTAGATATAGCTATTTATTATCCAGAAACATATGTTGTATAGCGCATTTTCTGCGGATGTTCTGAAGATTAAAAGAACCTGTAAAAATGCTTCTGGTTGCAATTTTAAATTTGAGATGCTTGATCCTCTCGTGAACCGTGACCATTATCATGAGATGCGTAGAGCATATCTCGAATGTTCAAAATCTAAACATCTCTGAAAATATATGACTCCCAATTACAGGTAAGGCAAATTAGATCCTTGATTTATGTCACTGCAGTACAAAATTCTATTTGATAATGTAACGGCGATGATTCACGAGATATACCAAATGTAACAAAAGAACGGAACGGTATTTTTCCAGCTAAGGTATGTTTGAAATTGTTCACGGTTAAATCCACGGTAGCGGACAAAACTTTAGATTAATTATTTTTAAAAAGTGAACTAATTTTTTATTCTATATTATTATGAACTATTTTTTTCTCATATAGTTTACTTACAGTCTTGGGAATACAAATGATAATTTGTGTTTGCTGTGGTACTACAGACAAGCATTAAAATACCTTCATATTATTTTATGACCAAAAATGAGACGACAAAAGTATGGAAACATATTTTTTATTGCAAAATTAAATGCAATAACTCTACAAAAGGATTTAAAAAATACTGTTTAGCTAATATTTGGTAGCACGGCCTTTAGCATTCAACACTTCCTGACAACTGCTGCTCATAGAAGTCACCAATTTTTTACAGACGTCTGTTGGGATATTTTCGCAAATATTTTTTACATAATGAAATAAAGCGTTCCTATTTTTGAAAGTTTTTCTTGTCAGTTATCTTTTAACATGCTCCCAGAGATGTTCTATAGGGCTTATATGCCATTTAATAACATTAACATTTTTTAGTCTTAAGCAGTCCTTCACAAATTTTGAGGTATGCTTGGAGTCATTATCTTGCTGTAATTTTCATCGTAAAGGCATTTTTTCTTCGTCAAAAAGGAGCATGTGTTTACTAAAAATATCTTTGTAAAGTTTCTGATCCATTTTCCCAGCGATTTTAACAATTGGACCCATTCCAGAACTAGAAAAACAGCCCCACACCGTGCTTAACTGTTGGCAAATGATACTTTTTGTCGAATCTTTTCCGTATTGGACGTCTCACATATGCCGTACCGTCCGATCCAAACAAGTTAAATTTGCTTTTATCGGTCCATAAAACTGTATTCCATTGTTGTTCTGTCGAAGTTAGAAGAGTTTTAACAAATTCAAGACTAGCAATACGATTTTTTTTAAATGAGGGGCTTTTGCACTGGATGCCTACCAAAAAGCCCAAAATCGACCAAACGTCTCTGCACTGTTCTGACAGAAAAATTCTCGGCACCCTCTTCTACGATTCTTTTGAAAATCTGTGTAGCTGGCATTCGAGGATCTTCATGGAACAAACGTTTGATGTAGCGATCCAAGACATAATCGTTTTTTTTTCGGTCTTCCGCACCTGGGCCGCGTTGCTGTTGATCCGTATTCTTGAAATTTACTAATAATTTTCGAAATCGTCCCTTTGTTCATTTTCAATCTTTGATAAACGTCAAGATTTCTGACACCACTTCTAAACAATTCAATTACTTTGTCTCTTAAATCTTTTGAAATTCTTTTACTTTTGCCATTCTCAGTGATGTTAATATTTACCGCACGCAGTATCAGAATATCGCAGAACGAATATATGTTGAATAAATGAAATGTTTCCATACCTTTGTCGTTACAAAAACTGTGATACTTAAAAAAACGCGTGTCTTTATTTTCAGAGAATTTGAATATTGATAGAAATAGATAGATAAGATAAACCTTGTATTACTACGGGGGCCACAGGTAGACTTTAATATTTACATTATCTCTTCCTTCACAATTTTAATTTAGGTTTATGAAATAGTACATAATAATGTTAATATTTGTTTCCAAACTTTTGACCGCGACTGTATATTAACTTGTACTTTGGTGATCGTTGATTTAACCATGAGGGTCAACTTCAAAAATCTGTGGTCATAGCCACTTCTGAAGGTCAAGTGAGCCCGTACAGCCCTGTTATTCCAGTTGCGTGACAAGATGCGTCAGCATATTCAACATCCTGTGGCATGCTCTCCGACGACGAGAAAAACCTCTCTAAGGTATCGAGTCATGCTATTCGAGTGTCGTGACAGGATGCGTCATTATGCCGCAGCTTCCTCTGACATGCTTCCCGATGCCGATAAGAACCTTTCTAGGGTATCGAACAGCCATGCTCTCCGCTGCCGAGGAGAACCAGTCTAGGGAATCGAAGAGCTATGCTATTCGACTTACGTGACAGGATGCTTCAGCATACCGCAGCATCCTCTGGTATGCTCTGCGATGCCGAGACAAACCTTTCTCGTGAGGGGCTGCCGACAAATGCTTGCAAATTGCGAGGAATTTCCAAGGCATGCTCCTCGATGTCGAGGAGAAATTTTCTAGGGTATCGAACAGTTATGCTATTCGACTTATGTAACAGGATGCGTCAGCATACCACAGCATCCTCTGACATGCTCCCCGATGCCGATAAGAACTTTTCTAGGGTATCGAACAGCCATGCTCTCCGCTACCGAGGAGAACCATTCTAGGGTATAGAGGAGCCATGCTATTCGACTTGCGTGACAGGATGCATCAGCATACCACAGCATCCTCTGGCATGCTCTCCGATGCTGAGACAAACCTTTCTCGTGAGGGGCTGCCGACAAATGCTTGAAAATCGCGAGGAATTTCCAAGGCATGCTCCCCGATGCCAAGAAGAACCTTTCTAGGGTATCAAACAGCCATGCTACTCGAGTTTCATGACAGGATGCGTCAGCATCTTGTGGCATGCTCGCCGATGCCGAGAAAAACCTTTTTAGGGTATCGTGCAACACTTTTATTCCAGTTGCGTGACAAGATGCGTCAGCATACCCAGCATACGAGAAAAACCTCTCTAGGGTATCGAAGAGCCGTGCTATTTCAGTTTCATGACAGGGTTCGCTCCGCAAGTAATGGCGAAAATTCTCCCAGCAAATGGGTGCAATGGTAGCAGAATTATCATACTGGAAGAGAGAAAGTTTAGGTGTCATAGCTGATTCTGCCCACTCACATACAGATATCGAAGGGATTGGGGACTTAGCAGTCATTGCATGAATGTCACCAAACACTCACGGTTTTCCCGTTTAGGTGTGGCAAGACAGTTGTGCAATCGATTGCTATAACTGCGACTCGACTCGAACGATATGAAACGTTACCTGTCTTAATCTTCGGATGTTGGGATATAACGCTCGATGTATCAATGAGGCACTTTACTCATAACGACGTTTCGAGATTTATTTGATGTCTTCTTCAGGGCTACAAGATGCGAAAAATAAATTTCGACAAAATACAAAAATAAAGTTTCATTTAAAAAAAAAAAGATCAAAATAGACAAATATGTAAAAAATCTTAGCATACACAAATAAAGAACGTTCGACGATGGTAGCATGAAAAAAAAAAGAAGAAAAACTAACAAATGAAATATCAATCTAACGAAGTTAGCAATCAAAACTGTCAAGGTACAAACTAGTTCAGAAAATATTAAATATGTATAAAAAATGGAGAAAATCAAGTGAGCGTTGCAACAAATATATCACACAGGATATAGTACATTCACCCACGACACACATAAATAAAATAGAACAAAATGAATAAAATATGAGATCCCAGCGTCTGCTGCATTTAAATAATTGAACCCAAACAGGAACTACAATCGTCGGAAGACCTATGTATACGAGAAGCAGCAATGAACATCAAAGCAGCGTGAATAATACACTGATAGAGTCAAAATTAAAACTATGATCATTCTGAAAATGATGAGATGCCAATGCTGCGTGCTCCCTGTCAATTCTGTGAATTTCTCTGCAAGCAGATTTATTAGACGAATTTCTATATTTTAGATTTCGTTTAGTTTGATCTAAATACAGCATTTGACAAATCCGCACAAGGTATTTTATACAGAAACTAGTAGGCAGCTCATCCTTCAGTAAAGAATATAACATTCATTAAAATGTATATCTTTAGTATTTTATCAATTTAGATGCACTTTACAGAAACATAACAGAACATCACTATTCGACAGCATGATATTTAAGTCCCGTTATTCATGTCGTAAAGCTTCCTCTTTTATCCAAGTCCGTTCCTGTCGTCCGTTAAAACCTACACGTATGTACATCAATGCGTACAACGGCCGCTCACGTCAACGTTCAATATTTAACATTGTCTTTTGCACCGTGTAAATTTCATGAAATTCGAGCGAGAGCTTTTATTAGATATAAACGGTGGAGCAGCCTTTTGTGCGCTTTCATACATTCCCAGGTATTCGGAGAGAGTATAGGGATGTAGCGTCAGAAAATGTTGAGAGAGAAAAAGGTCGACAGTTCTCCGCGCTACCGTGAGCATCCGTCGGCATTCCGACAATTTGCGATACTATTGCCTAGCCAGCAAAAGAATGCAAGAGAAAAAACGGTGAGGGTGCCGCAGAAACCGGTCGATATCGCCTGCGAAACTGTTAGACAAGTTATTGTGCTAAGAGAAAAGGGTGCATTCCGGCAATATCAGCTGCAAAACAGCTACAAGCAAAGCTGGAGGAGTGTGTGCTGGTTCTCCGCATTGCCTTCCCACGCTGAAGATTAAGATCCCATAAGAAAATGGACGGGGTAGCACCCAAACTAAAACAACTAAACGTAAGGTACAATAGGAAGCGGGACTACTTCAAAAACTGGTCACACTGAGAAAAAAAGGTATAATACGAGTGAAATTATACAATCAATAAACTATGGAATTTACCAAAATAAAATCATTGAAAGGGTTTGGCCTAGGAACGGGCACTCTACCATTAATAAAGAGGAATTCAAATTACTAGTAAGTGATCAAAATAGTAAACAAAGGTTACGTGATTTTGGCACCTGACAAATGATTATTTGCTCCTGCGAAATATTTATGATCAACCGCTGTCAGCCTTTTGATTGACGTTAACCATTCAGGTACCATTTATCTTGTTGTCACATGACAAAGATAATGTAAGTAATATTTTCAATGAATATACAAGAACTAAATGCACAATGTTGACAGCCGTCGTTCCTTTGCTTTGGATGCTCTCGCTAGGCAGATAAAATGGATAAGTTTGGTTAATGTTGCCTTTACCTAAATAACCGACACCGAACAAGATGCAGAAACCCCGGACATTTGGGTGAAATGCAGATTTCTCCCCGAACACCGTAGATTTTTTAATAAAAATGATAATTATTCAAACAGCTTGTTAGCGATTTATTGAACAATGTTTGACAAACATTGATAAAATCGACAGTATAACAAGTTGGATACTAAAGTAATCACTAATAAAATTTTCTGATGCAATCTAGTAACATAAATAACTAGGAACACTTATATTGTTAGCATCAAATTAAAAACAAGTCATACACAAAAAGTGAAATGCTGACCAGTATCTAATAGATAAAATTCTTCCTGGGATAACACACACACATGCAGTGAGATCCCCCGGCACTAAGCATACGAGACCTGTAAATTAAGTATGAGACTGATTTAAATTTTATTCAAATATAATTACAATTTTATATTGCCACATTCAAAATAACTTCTTCTGAAGCCACGCAGCACTGAAGACGGTTCTTCCACTCCTCATAGCAGTGCTGAAACTCCGATACAGGAATAGCCTTCAGCTGGTCGGTTGTAGCCATTTGAATGTTTCCGAGTGTCTCAAAATGAGTTCCCTTGAGATGATTTGTCAACTACGGAAAGAGAAAAAAGTCACAAGGGTTCAATTCAGGCGAATAAAGAGGCTGGAGCGCTACAGAAACGTTTTGCTGGCCAAAAACTCGTTTATTGAGTATGCTGTGTGACAAGGAGCATTATTATCGTGATACAACACCCAGTTGTTATATGATGAACGGTGGTGTGAGTCAAATTTAACTCTTCCCCGATCATTCTGACTGCCATCCGGCGATCTGACCTCACGAATTCTGTCGATATTTTCATCGATTCTTGGTCCATCTTCAATCGACTCTCTCCCTTCGGAAAATGCCTTAAACCATCGAAAAACCTAGGCTCTTGACAAAACACTGCGCCCAAGTTTGAAGCAAAACTTGATAGCACACCGCTTATTCATTTTTAGAACACAATAGAAAAAACTGTTTCACAAAAAAAATCGCTACGGACAACCAAATGACTCGAGCCAGTTCAAACTTGTACTGAAGGCGGATAACATGTTCATCTGTCTCCCTCGAAGTCCAGCACCTCCCGTTGCCAGATCGAACGCTACGTTGCCAGTCTCATCACGTAATTTACACACCTCGTATGTGTACCATGGCATCCTCTTGCTGCGGTTCTTTTATAATCTGGCACCAAAACGGAATAGCAAAACACATCGTACGCCACTGTAACCACGACCGTGTCTTTGAATACATCGAAATCTGCGCGGACCCGCATTTTGGCATTCGGTATACTCGTAGATACTTTTGCAAGTGAGACGAGATGCTGATGAACGCGCCAGGTATCATTGGACACTTGAGTATGAGTATGCGTTACAAATGCATTTATTTTGAATAATACTTTTTTTGACTATTTTTGATGTCAACAATGTATGACACATTCATTATTTATATTTATTTCATTATTTACAGGTATAGGATGTATAGAAAAAGTCAAACAACAGGCTTCCCATCATTAATCACAATATTTTCGGCACCAAATTATCTGGATGTTTATAACAATAAGGTAAGTAGCATGATCACGTAAAAAAATCTATTACTACATTTAGGCACAGAAAAACTTGTGACATAACGACATGATTTACCCATAAAACTCCGAATCGATAACATAAAAAAGCGAATAATAACAGGACTATCTAAAGTACAACAGTGAGCAGCAGAGGTAAAACAAACTTGGAACTATTATTACCAGCCCGAAAAAAACAGGCAAAAAGGAAACCAAACAAAAATTAATGACACCTGCTATGGAGTAAGAATTTGTAGCATAAAAACAGTAGCAGAAAATGTAGAGGAAGTTTCTTCTGATAGGCCTGAGGTTTCAATGACCATTTAAATGACTTTTCTAGAATTTCCAAATCATGTGATCACGAAATGTTCAAGGCATTATCATCTACTCCAGTTATATCAATAGCTTCGATACTATCAAAATTTGACATCAGATTCCTGATGTACGCATCTAATTTACCCTCGAAACGAGGTTTCGTCTAGATTAGAAAAACAAGAGATATTTTCATCGCGTTCTTTTAAAACTTTAAAAATTCACCACACATACCTACCACTCAAACCTCGCTCCGGTGTGATAATTTGGGAAGTTTAGATTATGGTTACACAAAACCTTTTGGCATTTGATCAAAAAACTTTAAAAATTCACCACGCAAAATCTTCATTTTCGTTCATCACTCGTCGATCTGCTTCTCGTTCTAAATTAGTTCCGTATATCGAGAACTGGCTGGTATGTTTTGTCATTTGTTTCTAGGACATCGAGATCGAGCAATCTGCAGACGAGGATTTTCAATTCACCAATTTAACTCTGTTCTGTAATACAACAATCGCTGTGTGGTTGGATGGCTACTTTCACCTGCATACAGTTGCTGCATTTTGTCTGTCATTCCAAACTTTGCGTCATTAACGATGTTAAAGCAATACTGGACTGAAGCGAATCCATTGAATTTTAAACAAACTTTTCGAGATGCTAGAAAATATCAGTTGTCGACAGTAATTAGACTTTGACTTCGTATTCCGTTGAAACTAAATTGATTATCTTTGTGCTTCTGTCATTCAATACTAAATACAATAGTATTTATTATTCGCAATTACCATTTTATGTTGATGAATATAAACAGAATTTCAAAAAGTCGTAAATATTAATATTTACTCGCAAAAATACAAAAAATGGGCAAATAAATATGAAAAAACCAGAGAAGGCATCGCCTGTGTGTAATTATATCCTAATAACTAACATATGTTTATAACAATTATTGTTAATTCTAAAAGTTATTAATATAATTGGAATCTTGTAGTTTTAGTTTTCTATACAGGGTGTTTCAGTTTATTGTTGCATAACTTTAAGATTCGAGAGAACTTTTAAAATTAATGCATAAAGTCTATATAAACATGGGTCGAAAAATGCGTGGCTTCCGAAATACAGGGTGTTTAAATTTACTTTCTAAAATAGTTTTTTTTAAATACTTCGAACAATATTTGATGTATAACAGTGAAAATTGGTATACAAGGGTTTTTTGGTACGACAAAACGAACCATGGGCATAGTTTTACTGTAGCCGCTAGAGGGCGCTCTCTACTGTACCTGTAGTGTATTAAAATGACCGAAAAAATTTTCTTAGTGTAATTTTTTGCTTTTTGATTAAAAAACTGATTCTTCGCACTTTTCAACATAAAAAAGCTCTCCTGTGAGTTTTCGTTATAGTTAGCCGTTTTTGAGATATTTCGATTTTTAAGGTTCGATGCATTTTTAATTATTTATGGGAAAATAATATTTTTTTTTACATTTCCGATTTGGGCATTACAAGTAATTAAGATGATCGTTTAGATTGTGTTTTTAAACAGCAATAATTCCTAACTCCAAATAAACACAAAAAAAACAGAATAATAATTTGTTTAATTTTCCAATATTATTTTTAACAAATTAAATTAATTATTTACAACTAAAATGCTATTGGATGGTTAGGACAAACATACAAAAAAGTAGTTGCTAGAAATGTAAACCCAATTGTTCAATACACAATTCACATCTACGAATGATCGAACGTGGTATAGCATTATTCAAATAAGGCCTTATTTCATCACATGCATTCCTGATTCTGTCTATTAGCATAAATTTCTTTCCCGAACTGCATGCGGATTTTCATGCGACCAAATATGATGATTATGAAAATTTACCATTCCACGTCTAGTGAAGCATGACTCGTTGGTCCATAAAACGTTACTTAAAAACTCCCTATTATTATCAGTTCTATCAAGAATCCACTGACAAATTGTGATTCTTCGTTCTCCGTCCCCTGGCTGTAGTCCTTGCACAGGTTGCAAATGGTAAGGACGTCTATGGTCATTTCTAAGAACACGGTGAACATGGCTTGCTGAAATTCCCAAGGCACCAGAAACTCTCCTAACACTTGTGGTCGGATCTCTATCAAACTCATGCAGAATCATACGGGAAAATCTGCGCTGACGAACATTTATGTTTTGATCCCTTTGGAGATTTCCAAAACCATTTTCAATTATTTGGCGATGCACTCTTACAAGTACTGAGCGAGTTGGATGTCGTCTGTTTGGAAATCTTCGTGCGTATTCTCTGGCTGCTTCTGCTGCGTTTCCATTTACAAAGCCATACACAAAATGAATATCCGCTAACTCTTGATTGGAGAATAAAAATGGCATTTTTATAAAACTTACAAAAAAAATGATAAAAGAAACTAAATTTCGTGCATTCACAATTGCAAAAAAACGTTTCAGGTTACAACAGACGACAAAACTATCTGTCAACTAATTGACGTTTAACCTTATTCTACTTTCAATTTCAAAAATATTTGCAGGCACAGCCTACTTCTAAAAATTAGATACTGACTTTTTAACGTTATTTTATCATAATAATTAAAAATGCATCGAACCTTAAAAATCGAAATATCTCAGAAATGGCTAACTATAACGAAAATTCACAAGAGAGCTTTTTCATGTTGAAAAGTGCGAACAATCAGTTTTTTTATTCAAAAAGCAAAAAATTCCACTAAGAAAATTTTTTCGGTCATTTTAATACACTACAGGTACAGTAGAGAGCGCCCTCTAGCGGCTACAGTAAAACTATGCCCATGGTTCGTTTTGTCGTACCAAAAAACCCTTGTATACCAATTTTCACTGTTATACATCAAATATTGTTCGAAATATTTAAAAAAAACTATTTTAGAAAGTAAATTTAAACACCATGTATTTCGGAAGCCACGCATTTTTCGACCCATGTTTATATAGACTTTATGCATTTATTTTAAAAGTTCTATCGAATCTTAAAGTTATGCAACAATAAACTGAAACACCCTGTATAACTATGTATAGTCATTCGCTGCACAGTACAAACCCAGTCTTTTAATTTTCGACTCAATTTTTATTTTTTTCCAAAATTATGTGTTTTTGTTTCGTTTGGTACTACATTATAGAGATAATTTAGATGCTAAGAATTTGAATGATTGTTTGAATAATGTTTTTTATGGTCTTTGGATATTAGATGAGATTATTCGAAATCGTGTGTTATGCTCGTATTTATGGGAATTTTTTCCATTACAATGCTTATGGTATAAGGTGGTGGCATGTAAGAAATAAAGTTATCTAGTATCAAGTATCCCTGTTTCCTGATATAAGTTGTTCGACGGATATAATCGTTTCTTATGGAAAATGTTTTTTGTGCTATATCTAGGTCAGAAATATATGACTTGCAGGCGGCACCCAAGGCTGTGATGCCGTATATTATATGAGTTTCAACTAAGGCATGGTAGAGGATTCACAGATAATTTTCTGTAAGACTGTTAGCAAGTATTTGAGTTCATGGGCAACATTTATTTTTTTTATAACATATTTAATATGGTTATCTCAGCTTAATTGTTATACCTATATATCCATAAATATTCCAAGATATTTTAACGTGTTAACTCTATCAATTTTTGTTTTTTGGCTATGATAATTAACGGGAATTTGCTGGAAGCTAGGTAAAAATTTTGAATAGGTAAATGCAATAAATTTTGTCATCAGCTTTATATAATATGAGGGTGTGTCTGCAAAACATATAATCTTTCCAGTACTGTTAATTTTGAATAAGTCATTTGAGTAGAGATCAAATAGTAGTAGGCCTAGTACTGTTCCTTGAGGCACACCACACTTGATGTACATTTTTTTACTGCAAGTAATTTCGCATCTAATAAACTGCTCAGCAGTTTGTGGCACTGCCATCAGCAGTCGGCAGTTGCCCATCAAATTTGTAATCTGTGGATGTCATTTTTACACTTACTCGACTGTATAGTCTACCGAATCGCGCAACAGATGGCTGCTGTGCGATTATAAATAAGTAAAATAGATTGGTTGCGCCTCTGTTGTTTTTTTTAGTAAACAATTTTGTTGAAATATCTTATTCGCGCACCGGGAAAATCTTGTAATCACCGGCACGCAGGTTCAAAATTGAGAAACACTGTTTTTTACCGATTTATTACCGGAAATAATGAATACAGTCGTTTTCTTAAAACTTCAAACTTGACGTTATATTTCAATCGTCAGCCTATACAGTGTGATGTCTACGACAATCTTATTTCTATTAGTTTGTGACATAAAATTTAAAGCATACAGAATTGAACTAAAGCTATTTCAGATTCCAGCACAGGTCATTTTTTAATAATTTAATATGTATTAGTATGATGAATATTCCGGACCCGTAGAATAAGGTTTTTACATTTTCCTCATTGTTTTGAGTTGGTCTGGAGTCAAATTCAGTTCATTTGTATACTAAATGCCGTTTCCATTTAAAGTAGAACTTGTACATCAGATGATAGAATTAACTCACTAAAAATGACGTCATGTAGGTTGACTCTGCACTTCCAACGCTACGTCGTCATCAGTTAATGAAGGATTGTGTTTAGCACAATTTAGACTCGGTGAGAAAAAAGTTAGTTACGACCATGTGTAACAGAAAAATTTATCAGTCAAATAGGCCCACAAAATTAGCCCATAGACATCCTCCCTACTTTTTGTATGACTTACGAGTATATACATTTTTTTGACATTATGTAAGTTTTCCTATAAAATGTCACCTCTGAACTAGCTACCATTCACTTCAGGCTCACTTGTAGTAGGCGCGGCACACTAGCGGCTACGTAATGCACAAGTTTACATTTTCCCGATTTTTCTGACGTTATATAGATTTTTTACGTAATAACTCTGCTGCAAGCCCTCTACAAATTTTATCGGACCTCTGTACACTTCCTCATATCAGTCGCAGAACTAAAAATGTTGGCCTCAAAATAGTTCCTAATGTCATTTATCAGGTAAAAGATATTAGAATAACTGGGAATTTTTGATGTCATCCGTAGCTCATTCGTTTTTCTGGATTCCACTAAGTATGTTCCAACACTTTTTGAAATGCTTCTCGTTTTAATAGTGACTCGATAGAACACGGAACGAGCCCGTTTTTGTATCTTACTTCCTACCCCATTGGATGCGAGGAAGTGATGTGATGCGAAGAATTTCAAAAATAAGATACTATGGTATTTGGAAATTATATGTACATCTCGAAAAACCATATCACTCATTTATGTCTGTCTGTTTGAATATTTATACGCTTCCAACCCCTATAAGCTATATTTCATACATCATTTATTTCCCCGTACACTTACCTTTAAAACAAGAATGATAGAGAAATGCTTCCGATCCGCGTACTCCTGCTATCTAAGCATACCGCCCGGCGTCCCGGTCCGGCTGTGCACAAAATATATACACGGAAGGAACTATAATTCGCTGCAGCGGTGCCGCGGTGGGTGTTGCCGCGCAGATGTAGGAAGGGACAACGTTGAGCCTGTTTGACTGACTTTGATCTGTTGCACATGTCCGTAACTGTCTTTTTTCTCAAAGGATTTAAATTGCGCTGAACTTAATCCTTTAAGAACGTTGCGTAGGAAGTGAAGAGTCAACCTACTTGACGAAATTTGCTTAAGCAATTTAGTTAAAGCAGCAGTCTCTAAAACATACGTATCAGTAAACAGCATATATGGTTTCATTTAGCGGCCAAACAAACATGGAAGACAGAATTAACAACAACATCAAAAACAAATCAGAATCAAAAGATGGTGAAAGGAATAAGTAAAAGTTTAAACCAAAGAATACCTCACAATGTCCCGGGAATTTTCCTGACCAGTGCACGCTGCCTTTAGGAAAATCTTTTTCAATACTCTCTCCTGCCACTCTCCCGGATACGTTGGAATTGAGTTTTTATGAACCAACGAATCCGGACTAGATAGAAGGAACAAGTATACAATTTGTTTGTACCCAAAAAGTCAGTAATCAGGTTACTAGTTCATACTACAAGTCGAGCGAGTTTAAACCACCAGCTTGAGTGTTGTTGATATTTCACATTAAATTAATATTTTTCTGCACAAACCTATAAGAGTGCGTGGATCCAAACAATCCTAGTGTTCCAAATAATTGCCGAAAATGGTGAAGGTTTCTGTAGAATGCAAAACTGAGTAAGAGTATATCTTTTTGTCGATAAGTATTAATATATTCTAGTCATCGGCGTTGTGAAAGGGCAGATACCTCAACGTTGGGCTTTTACCTGGGTAGTGCTATGCTAATATTTGCATTTTTTACGTACATATGTAGAAGTGTCTATTATGTAATTTGATACAAATTTGTTTGTGGTTGAATCACCATTTTTTACACACAAAAATTAAACACTTACGCACTATTAAATTGCTTTTAAAATGTATAGGTATTTGTGAACGATTGGGTCTATAAGGTTCTCAAAACCATCCCCCACCATGGGACCATACACCCATATTACTCCATACTACCATATATCGGTATACGAGGGATGTCTTTTAAGTTTTGCATATGGAAATAAAACACCACGATAGGAGGTTTTAAATGACTTTATTGTTTTTCGAAGTATTCTCCACGAAGATTAATACACATCTGCATGCGCTTGAACCAATTTTCGAAGCACTTATTCCACTCGTTTGCTGGCAGATCCAAAACGGTATTTTTGAATGCGTCAACTGCTTCTTCTGGGACTGGAACCTTTGAGCACACAGTCTGTTTTTAATTTTCGGGAAAGTAAGAAATCGTTAGGACTTAGATCAGGACTATATGGAAGGTTTTTGACACCAATTAACCCTGGCTTTCTGCTCTTCAGTCAACAGGTGGGGTATCCAACGAGAAACTAATTTTCTTACTCCTAATTCTTCATGTAAAATTTTTTGAATTGAGGTCTTTGAGATCTTCAAGGACGCCTAAATTTCGGGATATATCGCATGTCTATCTTCAGTGATGAGTTTGCGCACAGCATCGACGTCTTCCTGGGTGACTGCTGTTTTTGGTGCACCCACCCTGGGATCGTCGCTAAGACTCACCCGTCCACGTTTGAATTCTCCATACCAACGGGAAATTGTCGACTAATGTGGCGCTTCGTTGCCGAAAACAGACAGTAACTCAGCAAGACATTCTTGTTGCGATAATTGTCTCTGAAAGTTGTAATAAATTATAGCGCGAAAATTCTCGGTTGAGTTCCATTTTTCTAATGACTTGGTGAAATTAAAAATCCACTGTAGTGAGAACACTGCACGTATTGTTGTGAAACTTTGAATTTAAGTTTACTAAAGAGTGAGGTTAAGATTCAGCAATGACGTTCGATCCGCGCGGCCTATGTTTCTATATGCAAAGCTTAAAAGACATCCCTCGTATTGCATACATAGACAATTTTAGATTTTTTGAGATTATGTGCCAAGCTTACTAGAAAGAATATTCACAGATACAACAATCATTGCTTACAGCACATCAGTGCTCAATCGTGGAACAATCTAATCTTGGCAACGCCGCGCTTCCTCAGATCGAAAATATACTAATTTTACTTTATTTTTACATGTTTGTGTTAAATTACATAATAGACACTTCTACATACGTAGAAAATGAAGATAACACCATATTCGGTGAAGGCACCTACTTTGTCGCACCGAATTGTATACCTAACAACATTACAAAATGCAAAATATTGGGAGACAAACCAAATTTTTGGTGGATAATGAAAAGTGCCAACCGAATCTTTAACTTTGAATCTGATCTACTTTTTATTGGATAACTATGACAATCTTAAAATAACAGTAATTTCCACATTCTTCTCAATTAGATAATTGGTTTTAGCCAAGAGTTGCTCGGTAGGGGTATAACGTGACTTGAAAAGCGACTTTATGTCGTTTTTTTTACATTATGTCGGTTTGTTTGACCTGTAGGTTTTCCAACAAGACGTTGACTTAGAACTAGCTGTCGTTCACTTCATGCTCACTTGTAGCAAGCGCGGAATGAATTATTTTCACACTAGCCTTCTTAGTCAGCAAGCTGACACCATTTTTTTTGTCATTATATAGGTATTTTACGAAATAACCCTGCGGCGAATCAACAAAACTATTGAAAAAAACCGGGGTAGAACTTGTATCTTCCAAAATCACGAATTAAACAGAATTGTTCATACTCTTTACAGTTAATAAATATTTACTTTTGTTTATTTGCCTTATTAAATCTATTCCTGTTATTAACAATAACTAAGCGATTCACATCGCAACACAGTTCATATTTCTGCCCTGTGAACGTGAGTACACCCAGTACGATTGGATATTTAATATCCGCTCCAGAGAAAAAATATACGCTAATGTATCCGATTCGTCACTTCAGTAGGCAGTGGTAAGCAAATTAAATTATATGTTTACAATTATTACTATAATTCATTATAACCATATAGGCTTGATTTTTTCTAATCGAATCGAATTTGTCGTTCTGAACCTATTCACACCCTGTATACTAATGGCGAAACAATGATTTTTAGATAGTTATTCATATTTTCGTATCGTGATCCTGGAATATTTGATTGCAGGCAGCGGTACTTAAATACGAGAACAACGTCATGAACATCAGGCAATTCAATTTTTCGCCGCACCCGTACTGGCTACCGAACTTCATGGACGTATTCACGTGGTCGTTGCCTTTCGTGGGCGAAAAGGTGACCGAAATGTTGGTGAATGTGCTCAACATCTGCTCAGATGACGAGCTGGTGTCAGATGGGGACGATGCGTTGGAGGAAGGTACGTGTCTCATTCTAGGCTGGTGACTATCACGTCTGTGGTCGTCAGTCGAGCTTATGGACTTTTCTCACAGTTTTCTAGCGGTAGATGGTTCAATTTCAGGGTTTCACGTACGAATGTGTTATTTTGATCAACAACAGCGAAATATGCTTCTATTTTTCCAAACGAGCAGTTTATCAGCATACAGGGTATCCCAAAAGTCATGGAGCAAACGACTAGGGATAGGTTGCGATCAGAAAAACCATCTATGTCCTTATCTGATTGTGCGCGGTGTGTTTGAGTTATCGCCATTTTTAAGAATTTGTTGAAAATCAGTGCCTTTGAGACTATACTGTTGTTTTCTGAAGTTGTCCTTTGTTATTTTTCAATCAGATTTACTGTCTCCTATTTGAATCACATAAGGGTGGTAATTGGGCTGACAAGATTAGATAATGCTGCACTGCTTCAGTTACGCTTATAACACCCAAAATAAAGTCAAGGCCGCCAATCCTTGGAATGATTAGACCTAGAATTAATTCAGGTTGTGTCAGGTGTCACATAAATGTTTGCTCATCCTATTTGGAAGGAAGATCAACAATGGCAGTTGAAGGGTCAAGGTTAAAAATGGGAATTTCCGGATTTAGGGTACCTGCAGCATATTGTTTACTTTGAGCCGAATATATGATATTTGACTTATCTGATTGATATTTTGGAACGCCTTAGTATTGAGAAGTTTTTCATTATTATGAACACCTTATCCGCCCACTAATTTTTGTACAAGCCTCGTTGCAGTTTAGGCGATTGCTGTACCTACATTAACTGGACTAAATTTTCACTCATAGCTTTTTGCATCATTTGAGAACATATTCTGTTAATCTGATTGAGATTTCTTAAAATGGCTATAAGTCAAAAACCGTGCACAATCGGATGGCATTATATGGTATTTCTGTTTGCAAATGCACCCTTTACCTTTACCGCCCCCCCCCCCCCCTATCATTTGATTGACTTTTGGAACACCCTGTATAGAGAAGACTCTGCCTATAATCCGAGCCTCACACTAAAATAGTACATCAAAAAAAATTTTAAAAGTATTTTTGGCTAATCAATTCGCTACAGGTATGTATTCGCTGTGTAAGCGATGACAGCGCCGCCTAGCGGAATCTTTTTGCTTGACACGTGCAATAAAAAAAAAATAACAGCCGAGTCGATTTGAGGGTAGGAACAATTTGAATTTCGAACAATTCTCTTTTGATCTGACAGCGAAATATTACACCACTGGCAGGCGTCATTCCCACACAAAACACTGCAGCGATTAATGACAATACCATTCATGTTGAGAATACCTGCTTCAGTGATGAATGCAAATCATCATGCTTTTCTAAACGGGCATACCCAGTACCCCAAAAAATTAATGTATGGGCAGGCATTTTAGGAAACAAGGTGATTGGGCCATTGTTTAGTAATGGAAATTTGAATGGAGGCATTTATGTGGATATGTTGGGAAATACCATGGATCCGCTTATCACTGAAACCATTGAAAACCAAATCGGAGAGGATGGAAACCCTATACTTGATGAGGCTGAAATAAATTTCCAGCAAGACGGCGCTCCTCCTCACTATGTTCTTTCGGTTCGGCAATGGCTAGACGACGAGTTTCCAGATAAATGGATAAGGCGACGAAGGCCTATAGAATGGCATGCTGGATCTCCTGATTTAACGACATTAGCCTTTTTTCTATGGGGTCATTTGAAATATATTGTGTTTACTCCCCAACCTGAAAGTTTGGATGAACTTCGTCAACGCATCATCGAAAGCTGCCAGGATATCCCACAATATGTTTTTGAAAATTTCGGTCAGGAATGTGTACATCGCCTAGATCATTGTTTGACCTGTAATGGGCAACAATTAAAATAAAGATTTTTCTAATTTTCTTGAAAACGAATCGACCGATTTTAAGGAATCAAACGTCAAAATAAAGGACTTTGAAAGGACCTTTCAAACAAGCTATTACTCGATACTCCTTATCATTTAAAATTTCTAAGGGGATGACCCTGAGGGGCAGAGGGTGAAAGGGGGTCAAGTAGTTTTTAGTTAAAAAATTGTCCCCCTTGACAAATCTTTTTACGTGTCTCGGCGTTTTTTCTTTTAATCAGTGTTTTTCGATAAATCCGTGGTGGGAAGTTTTCAAAGGAACACCCTGTATACGAGAATTCATTCTTTGCGAACGTTAGATTATTAGTAAATGAAACGTCGGTGTCGCTGGGTGTATCATCATCTTCTCCAGTATTTTGGGGTGATTGATGATCCAACTCTGAAGAGGTTTTGGGGAAATATTTTTACGTATGTTGACGTATTTCGAAAAAGCACATTTCTGTGAGAAAGGTTCATAGCTTATCCATACTATGTTGAAACATCCATCCGTTTTTCATATCAGGATGCATCAGTTTGTAGGAAGTTATTCAGTATTTATGTCAAAACAGCTTGATAATTCCATTATAACATAAATATATCTTTCCATCTCGGTATTTGCAAGTAAAATGTACATTTTTTTCAATATCAGTCTATGGTAAAAATGGTCTTGACCATTTTCTACGTATTTTTACGTAACACCTGGCCTGATGATCATTGTCCTATTCATTTTTATGCAAGTTATTTTCTCACAATAATTTCGTTAATATTCAAAGTAGAAAAATCTATATTTGCTGCTCGATACTGTCTAAATTCCTTGTGGTGACTTCCTACAAGTACTGATACAATTATTTATTCGTACTTCAGCTCAAATGGACAGATCTCATCAAATCTGAAAACGAGAAATTTCGATTCGAATAAGGTAATGATCAAGTTATTAAAACAAAGCATGGGCATTAAGAAAATATAAATGGGTAATCACAATAACGAAGTCTACCCATATTACATGAAAACATGAAAACGTACCTTCGATGATCATGAAATCCAAATCTTAGATGTAAGGTGTAAAGAATACTTATTGATAATCTCAACGTACTATATATGGGCTTAAAGATCCACCCGTTATTTAAATTTATTCAATATCAAAGTAAGTATTTCTATCCTGAAAAAGAATGCAAGAATATGGGTATTAGTATAAGGATGAGCTCTGTCCAGTTGTTCGAAAAATACTGCTCAACAATCAAAGGTGGTGCAAATTAAGCTTTGATGCAATAAGATAAATATGTTGATAAATAATCAAAATTTTTATAATAACGTGTCTATAAAAAATTTAATAAACAGTAGCTGATCAGTAAGAGTTTCGAGGTTTTTATCAATGAACTTTTAAGTATTTAGAGAAAGAAGTATTCTACTATCACCACTTTGAAATACAACTTTCGCTATCTGAATGTAATCATCATAGAGACAATGCAACATTGAAATTGTTTGCCTGATGTACATTTGCATTATCTAATTCAATTGTTGAGTAGTAACATTTGGCAATCTGTTTCATTTATCGCTTTTCAGTCATATGCGATTACTATATTATATCTTAAATATTGATCATACAAAATGTTCCATCAAATTTTCAAAATAACCCAAGCAAACAGTGGTAGAGTTGTTGCAGGAAAAAAAAGGAGATATTTAATTTCCGGATTACAATAAGTTAATGTTTTTAAACTAGTTCAATTTATGAGACTTAACAAAAAGAAAAGTAAAATTTCAACAATTCAAAATTTAAAGGAAATACCTCGATCTAGAAAAGACTACAGACAGTTACTTGTATTTCATTTCAATATGAAAAAGTGGATTATCGCTTAATCCAGAATGACCACCTCTTCTTTGGAGGACATGTCTGTATGTTCTATGATAATAGTCTAATCGTCCACATGTCCGTTATCAGTATTATGTAAACCATGCTTGAAGCCAATCTATTTGAAATTAGTTCCTGCAAAAAACTATACCATCTGCAAACATTCATATTCAGCAATATGCACTATCGATAGATGCGGATCAATCAGTCGAAATATGATTGATGTTCTCTGTAATTGTCTTCAATATTGAATTATCATTAACATCAAAGATATGTTCTGCCTCTGTGTTTAAAACATGTAGATCATATATTCGACTGGATTGTCTGACAAACACTCGTCCTTGAACAATAATTTATTTTCAAATTAAGATGAACAAAAAATGTCTCAACATGCTTGTTTTTCGAACAAAAAAATTCAAAAATTGTGTTTTCTTTCTTCACTTTTTTTCAATGCTACTTGGATTGTAAAGATGGTAAGGTTCAGTTTTACTTTTTGATTACACATGAAACTGCTTATGAAATTTTTAGTGACAAAAACATAGACTGCCTGATTTTTGTCCTTATGTGTTCAGTGTGATCTTTTGTTGGGTAATCTACCAAACGGACGCATAGAGTCGGTAGACGCAGTTCCGTGCTCAAATTCGCGATAATATTTGTACTAAAGTATCTTCCAAATCAAAGCAGACAAAATAAAAAAGGCTATGGTAGCAACCGAATTATCAATAAAGTCATTAATTCATTAAGGCTATGGTAGCAACCGAATTATCAATAAAGTCATTAATTCACAATATGTGGTTTGGTTTAATGGCTATCGCATACCGAAGACGGCAGAGGAGTACATCAAGCAGGATTTTCTTTCCAGCAGAGCAGCAAAACAAATCCCGCGACACTAGGATTATCCCACCTACTTGCCTTAGCGTCTATATTCTGGCAACAAGGGAATGCCATGGCATGCCGACGCCTCCTGCGGCGGTATCAAATAGTATACCGTGCGATACGGTAGGCGACATCTCCTACCTGACGAAATCCGTCGGCATGATGTAATATTACGGCATATTCTATTGCCTGAGGGATTTCGAGACATGCCGGTGCCTTCGTTTGCGGTATCTCATAGCATGCTACTTGCCCTTTGATACCACCTAGGTTTTTCATCTCTCGGCCTCGAAGAGCATGTTGTGCGACATCGGCCGACATACCGCGGTATATTTGGGCGTAAGCGGTGTGTACTGGAATCTGCCGAGGTACTATTTCGAGATGCCGACGGATGCTCGCAATATGGCGGAGGATTTTTATCATCAGCGTATGCTCCGGGAAAGAAAATCCGTCTGGTTACTCCCCCCGAACTACCTCGGCATGCATTAGCTTTCATTGACTAAATTAAAGAAGATATATCAGAGGGGCAACCACAGTATAAGCTTCAAAATATATATAACTAATATGGTATTTCGAGTTTCCGAAATTACAAGCAATGATTGGCGTGGAGGCTAGATTCTAACTGAATTACAGCATGTAAAGTACAATGTTCGTTTTAAAACAAAGGAAAAATATCATATTGCATTCTGGCAGTTGCCAGGTGCTGTGAAAAGGTGCTGAGTGGCAAGTTCTATTTTCTAGTAGGATACAGGGCAGCCCTATAACTTATATTGATCTCAGTTCACTTTTATTGAGGTTTTTCTATGAAAATATACTTGGAGTCGATGATTTTCAGCAACTTATGGCAGGCGCAACATTTAATAGTAGTTCAAAATAAGCCTAGTGATAAGATTGGTCTATGAAAGCAGTATTTATGGACTTGACACTTATAGTATTTCATCTGCAATTACAAGCTCTGGGTTGCTACAAGATTTAGAATTGATATAATCTGAAAGTATAAGCGTGCTTAATGGAGAAATGTTACGCGAAAATTAGCATTTCCAATATCGACAATATGCATGCGGACTAAACCGCAATAAAGCCGTATATTGTCAGATGATGTTCATTAACGTCCGGTTATGGATTTCAGCACGCATATTTACCAGCTTTATTATCAAATTATCGACGCTAATGGCACATGGACATTTTCATCGCACAAATACGAAATTATGCGAAATAGCCATATCTGCCACGCAGCGGTATATCTATAATTATATTTCACTCCCCTTTCGTAAGTGGCTAGATTTTGTTATGACAGCAATTTTTTCATCACTTATACTACGTTTAAGTTGGATAGTATAAGATTAGTTCAAAGATGCTTGCGCACACCGAGGCACAGCAGGGAAAAGCATCGAAAATCATTTCTCTACCGGCTTCGTGCACTGATGTGAAATATCTTCCGGTTGCTTATGACACTGTCATCTGGAAGCCGGGAATATCGCAGCATGCCGACGCCTTTTGCCACGAGATCTCACAGCACTCCCGCCGATGCAGATAGAATTTATAGACGCGCATGCTGTGCGAGGCATCAATCGACAGTCGGGGAATGCCCTCGTATGCCGACGCCACTCGCCGCATGGTCCCTCAGCCTGCTCGCAGATACCGAAGGAAAATTCTCTTTTCGTCAAACGGCATACTTTATGTAGGATCTTGGGTCGGAAAGCATCGGCATGTCAACACCTCTGTGCACGAGTTCTCACAGCATGCCGTTTGATACCGAGTAGAGAATTTATGGACACGCATGCTGTGCGATGCATCTGTCGGCGATCGGGAAATGCCCTCGCATGCCGACGCCACTCGCCGCGTGGTCCCTCATCATGCTCTCCGATACCGGTGGAAAATCATCTTTTTGTCAAATGGCATACTTTATATAGGATACTGGGTCGGAAAGCATTTTCATGTCAACACCTCTGTGCACGAGTTCTCACAGCATGCCCTCTGATACCGAGTAGAGAATTTATGGATGGATCTGTCGACGATCGGAAAATGCCCTCGCATGCCGACGCCACTCGCCGCGTGGTACCTCATCATGCACTCCGATACCGGAGGAAAATCATCTTTTTGTCAAATGGCATACTTTATATAGGATCCTGGGTCAGAAAGCAACGGCATGTCGACACCTCTATCCACGAGATCTCACAGCGTGCCCTGTGATACTGAGAAGAGAATTTATAGACACGCATGCTGTGTGATGCATCCGTCGGCAATCGGAGAATGCCCTCACATGCCGACACCACTCGCCACGTGGTCCCTCATCGTGCTCTCTGATACCGAAGGAATATCCTCTTTTTGTCAAACGGCATACTTTATATGGGATCCTGGGTCGGAAAGCAACGGCATGTCGACACCTCTATCCACGAGATCTCACAGCGTGCCCTGTGATACTGAGAAGAGAATTTATAGACACGCATGCTGTGTGATGCATCCGTCGGCAATCGGAGAATGCCCTCACATGCCGACACCACTCGCCGCGTGGTCCCTCATCGTGCTCTCTGATACCGAAGGAATACCCTCTTTTTGTCAAACGGCATACTTTATATGGATCCTGGGTCGGAAAGCATCGGCATGTCGACACCTCTATCCAAGACATCTCACAGCGTGCCCTCTGATACCGAGAGAGAATTTATAGACACGCATGCTGAGCAATGGATCCGTCGGCAATCGGGGAATGCCCTCGCATGCCGACGCCACTCGCCGCGTGGTCCCTCATCATGCTCTCCGATACCGAAGGAAATCATCTTTTTGTCAAACGGTATACTTTTTGTGGGATCCTGCGTCGGAAAGCATCGGCATGCTGACACCTTTGTCCACGAGATCTCACAGCAGGATGCCATCTTATACCGAGAAGAGAATTTATCGACACGCATGCTGTGCGGTGCATCCATCGGCAGCTGGGGAATGCCCTCGCATGCCGACGCCACTCGCCGCTTACTCTCTCAGCCTGCTCTCAGATACCGAAAATTCTTTTTTTCTTGTCAAACGGCATACTTTATATGGGATCCTGCGTCGGAAAGCATCGGCATGCCGACACCTTTGTCCACGAGATCTCACATCAGGATGCCATCTTATACCGAGAGGAGAATTTATAGACACGCATGCTGTGCGATGCATCCGTCGGCGATCGGGGAATGCCCTCGAATGCCAACGCCACTAGCCGCGTGGTCCCTCAGCATGCTCGCCGATGGACACTTCGGTGTCAAAGTGCTTTATGTAGGATCTCGCGTCGGGAAGCCTCTGCATGCCGTGGAATTCCCCAGCTGCTAAGCTGTATATACTATCGTAAGTTAATAATATGCTGACGGATGATTGCGGTATCGCAAGGATTATTGTTATCAGTGTAACTGCCGGCAGGGAAATCTTTTACAGTCATATCGCCTGCCATTCTCCGGTGTGTGGTAAGCCAAAAACGGAGTTAATCGGAGTTTCACGATTTTTGTGTTACTGAAAGATTATTTCAATCTAGTGTTTGTATTTAATGAAATTTTGCATGGATCAATAGAGTATTTAGTAGTTACCTAACAAAAGATCTCCATTCCCTAGTACCCAACCTTGATACGTTTGACCGATTTTTTGGACAATTCTTAACAAATATGTTGCAAATAGCCCCTAACACTATGATTAAACCCTATTTTTGATGTTATGTTATTGGTTATGTTTCGTTTTATGATACCCAAGTAGCATATCTTTATTTTTAAGGTTTGTTCACATTTTTTGTATAAATATTACTTCAACTAAGTTGCACTGCATTGAACCACGGCACAATATTTTCCAAATTTTTTTCTATTTTACACACAAGAGTGTTTCTCTCTCTCTTTCAAAAATTGCACCATTCTGTCTCGTATTTGCTTTTATACTTTTACTCTCTTTTTCTGACACTTCCTTTTTTCACTACTTGTCTATATTCTACTCCTTTGGATCTCGCAACGATCACAGAGAAACAGGCTAAAATTGTTGTTAAAACATCCGGTAAGTCTATCACAGAGCTTTCGACAAGAAGGAGTTTAACACTGCATTTATCATATCTGATTTTTTATCTACATTTTTTTTATAATAATCCGCGTGTTGTGCCAGTTTTATTTTTGTTTTTGTGGAACAATACTTATTTACTAATACTGCAGTTTCGATCAAATACCATTTTTTATTTTTCAGCATTTGATTCTATTTTTTATTTCATTTTTTTTTTCAATCAAACTGGCTTGATTGTCTATTTACTATCAACGTGATATTTGCTTGCAATTTATTTCTAGTTGCTATGTACCTATATGTCGGTTTTTGGGATAAACAAGTCCATCTTTAGTATTAGAAATGACCGAATGTAGAAAACATCTAGTTTTCCCAATGATAATGCAAACTAACATTTTATTCACATAATTGAAATCTCCAAAATTAGCTGAAATGATTCAAAAATTGATGATTGAGAATGAGCTTGCATGAACCAAATCAAAATTTAAGGAGTTCTTTGTAGATTGATGTTAACGCAAAACAAAGCGTTGCTGCATTGATTTTAGAACTACGCACGAATTTTTAACTAACAGGAGAAAGAAAAGCAACTTCTAAGTCATCTTATAGTTGCCTCTTTGATAAATCTTCAGTCTGGTCAATTATTAAAACCACAGTTATTAAATTAATGGCTTTATTGATGTTTTGCCTGCCACAGCATCCTTGCTTTAGCACAAAATAAAATGATATAAAATAAATTTGAAACGAGATTTTCAATCCTAGATTTATTTGTCGATTTCATGGAAATTTATCTAAACATTGACATATTAATATTGTATTTTTTTAAAATATTTATGTTTTAAGTAAGGCTGCCGTGGCAACCGAAACGTCAGTAAATGCATAGATTCATCATCCTTGTTGGGTCTTATTAGTCAGATAAACGTTGTTAGATCAGGAAAGGGGTGAATTTAAATGCTGATAAATAAAAAAAATCCTGATCTCAATACCATTCCCGTTTTTATTATAACACTATATTAAAAATTTCGCTAATGGTCATCCTAGATACTAACTTCACGTTTAACCGGACAAAAACTATACTCGAGACTATAGTACTTAGTACCGCCTCGTATCCATCTTTCACAACCCTTCTGTAGTTCATCATTTGGGTTATACTAATATCATTTGGCTAAGAAATAATTTTCAAATTCGATATATTCCTGAAAAGTCACGTTACCTGCTTTTATCGACCTGACTGCCTGGCCGAACAATATTTTTTATGCTTTGATACCAGTACACCCCAAAACCTCAAAAGAGTACTATAGTGTTCGGATTTTGGTGGTATGAGGAAGCATTGAAGTTATCGTACTTTCAAATTTGTTAGTTTTGAAAAATTATACTTTCCGAAACTTCTGGCTTTCAAAAAAAATTTTGACTACACTAACATCCTAAACTCTTCAATAACTTGAAAAGCGGTGTACGTCAGCATATTAAAAGCTCACTTTTACAATTCATTTTACGATGAAAATAATAATAAAATCTTTTCACGGACTATCCTCTCATCGTGTTTGAATGGATAGATTATGCAAATGGTAAAAATTTTATATAGCGTAGAGACATAAGGCGAGAATTACTTTATAAAAGATAAGGGAAGGTTTTTTTGTGTTTTTGTGTAGTCTAAAGTAGTAAAGCTATGAAGCTCAACTTTCTTTGGAGCTAGTAGTAGAGATTGGGAAGCAAAGCCTGGTAACTGAACCACATTGACCCTTTTTGTAGACCTTATTGTACTAACACTGTGTCGCATTGATATTGCACCGATCTGGTGCGTATAGTCTAATCATATTAGCAAATTTCCCCGAAATAATTGTAAAATCTGGTTTTATTGGTGCAGTTGTTCAAGTGGGTATTCAAAACATGGACGCATAAAATGGGTACACAAATTTTTGTGGGAAAACTTTTTGTTTGACAACAAAGAATGAAGTAAACGTGTTTTTTGGGATTCAATCGAAAATGTTGACAGGAACGAAAAAAACTTTTCATACAAGATTTCTAAGCATTTATGAGACCTACAAAACACGTAAAAAGATCCGACTAATAGCAAAAATGTTATCCTCGAAAAACGAGGCAAAATGCAGGTTTTGGCACTTGGTAATGCGACGATAATTTCACGCAACTACTTGAAATTCTTCAAATCCGTAGGATTCATATTTCTAAATAACAACAACAAATGGGACTATGTTGCTCAAGTAGTGTTTTGAGAATTTCTAATTGTTTACCCCAAAAGTTTTACTTCTATATAAATTCAAACATTTCGTATTTGTGAGTAATTGAACAAATGCGCTACGATATTCAAAAAACATTATTATACACATTTTAAAACAAAGGTGATGTCTATCATCTTTTGTTGTGAATTACTCACAAATATGAGATGTTTGAATTTTTTTAGAAGTAAAACGTAACACACACTTTTTTGCATAAAAATAACATTAATCTTCCGGAATGGTTTGCGATTCATATCGGCAAGGTAAACTAGTGTATTTTGCTACAAAATGCCCTTTGAACTAACCCTGTATATTGCTCAATAAACTGGTAGTGATGGCCGGAAGCAAATGTTTTGGGATAAACAATTAGAAATTCTCAAAAACTGATGGACCAATCTACTCCAGTTTTGTTGTGGTTATTTAGAAGTACGAATCCTACGAATTTGAAGAATTTGAAGTATCTGCGAGAAACCATCGTCGCATTACCAACAAGTGCCAAAACCTGCAGTTTGCCTCGGTTTTCGGTCATAACTTTTTTGTTATTAATCGGATTTTTTTACGTATGGTCTCATTTTGTAGGTCTCATAAATACCTGAAAATCTTATATGGCGAGTTTTTTCGTTCCTGCCAAAACTTTCGATTGAATCCCACAAACCCGTTTTCTCATTCTTTGTTGTCGAATAAAAAGTTTTCCCACAAAAATTGGTGTACCCGTATTATGCGTACATGTTTTAAATACCCCTCAAACAACTTCCGAGGCAGGGATACAAACCCACGAGCCTTCGAGCTAATGTGTTGGCTGCTCGACGCCGTAACACGTCTAGATGCCCAGCTTTGGAACAAAATGACATCATAGATGACAGTGTAAACAGAGCGTTAAGTAGGAAATGTCAGAAGTGTTAGTTTCAAGGAAAACTACATTTCTCAGTTTTCTGGATACATGGCGGTACTCAGTCTTCAAAATTTTCACTTCCGTCGCTAAATTCCTGAATCGTGGAAGGAACATTCTTTGGGTATCCATTATAAAACTGCAGTATAATCTAAACCCAAACTTATAGTGGTGGCACTCGTATCGAAATATCATATGTTTTGACCTGTGCAGAAGGCTTAGGTAGCTTGACGCAATCGATTGTGTTTATGTTCAACAACATGATTTATCTGATCTGTTATACCCGTTTTATAGTCAGCAAAATGCAAGAGAAATCTTGAACAGTCGCTTGCGAACTAACAAATGAACTGATTATTTCCGTCATTTCCTTGCAACTACAGGATCTTGCATGAAAATCAACCAATTGCAGACAATCTTGCACGAAACATCCAATTGATTAATTTTCCTACGATACCTTTCTACCTATCATGAAGCAATGCTGTGATGGTGTAATTGTAAAATTCCAGATTTCGGAATAGAATTGTAAATTATCAGCGCCGGCTTGACGAAAACATGAACACAATCTTTAATAATAAAATCAATAATAAAACTAGATAGTTCAACTTTACCAGACGTACGGTTCTTTGGAAACTTAGAGGGAGGCTTTGGTACATCGGCTTCCGTTAATTCCTTTAGATAAATACATGGTGTCGAGGTGACGCTGGCGAAAGGAAAGGAAATATTTTGAGGATTAACATGCATACTCTTGGAATAGTCGGCACACACACCCTCCTTCCCGGTGCGGTCCGTCCACCACCCCTGTTCCAGGCAACCTCAAACCCTTGAGGAGTGGGGGGAAGAGCAATCCGCTCCTCCCTCCTCTCCCGCCCGAAGGCCTGGCGTGGCACTGCGTGGTTCAGGCCGCTGCGCATTCCCCGAGTGTGTGCTGCCGAACGAGCTAACCCTCTCCCCAATGTTGCCCCTTTTTACCGAAATTTGTCGGCAAATGCATCAATAACACCTTGTGGTGTATTAAATACGTTGCAAGAAAATGGCAAAAAAATCAGCTGTTTTGTTATTGCGCGTGCGTCTGATCGAGATTTCTCTTGCATCTTGCTCGCTGTAAAACAAGTATTAGCAACCTCCCAAATTATTGTTATAACTAACTTGACTGACCTTCTAGATAATCTTATCCCCAGTTCGATAGAGGTTTATGAAAATATTGTGGAATGCAAATACAGGGTCCGTCAGAAAGAACGCATGTTTTTTAAATGAGTAGTATAGTATGGAAAAAATATATTATTATATCAAAATACTCAGAAATACATGCCATTTTTGAGTAAAACAAAATTTACGTTCTAAAAACTATGACGGCCATATTGCGCCCTTGAACCGAAATGCAGGAATCAAGCCCCTCCCGCAATGAGCCCATAGCGTCGGCCAGCATCCGTGCAAGAATTTTGCAAGTAAATTTTGTTTTACTCGAAAAAATGGCGTGTATTTCTCAGTATTTTTATATAGTAAAATATTTTTCCCATACTTATTTAATTTAAAAAAACATGCGTTCTTTCTGACCGACCCTGTAGTATTCGCGATATACTAAAGTTGTGGTTATGTACTAGCTCATCCTTGTGTCGATGCAAATGATTTTGCAGAATGGACATTATAGATACCTCCATGGATTTTTTGTGTTTAGAATATATGTCTGCTGAGGGTCGCGGATTGGAAGACGGCAGGCTAGAGCATTAAAAAGTATTTCTCTCCCTTCTACACATACTAATATGGGAACAACTCCCGCGGTACCGTGAGTATCCGTCGACACCCTTATACGATAGTATGTGTTTGTTTTGGCAGCCAGGAAATACCACGGCTTCCGGACGCCTCTTACTGTAGGATCCCAT